GTGTTGAAGCAAATCAAGGGTGTTTAGGTGTAACTATCTGATTTCAACTTTTGGGTCATCATGGATCCTCTTCTTGGTTTCAAAGGACACCAAGACTGTGATGGAAAAGACGACCAAGAAGGTCCAGAAGCTTTGGTCGGGGCTCCGGAGGACTTTGGCAGTTGAGTGTTCATTCCATCCCAACCCATATCTTTTGTAATGCCCTTAGGGTTGCATGAGTTTCTTTAGATAGGCAATAAAAACATATACATCTTGATATATATATATATATATGTAAAAATAAATATATATATATATACAGATATAAATATAGGTAGCCACTTGCAATAGACAGGTCCCAGGTCCTATATAAATATCTTGTGCCTTAATTAATGTATCCAGTCGCGCAGGATGTGGCAGAACAGCCCTACAGCATCGAGATCCCCATGGGTCCAACAGCTCAAAGACTTGATGAAGAAACCAGCATCTGACACCTCTGAGCCTGGTAAGGGGTATGATGTTGGTGCAGAAACTGAAGAGCTTGGTGATGAATCCAGTGATGGTATTCCCGACCATTTCATGGGTGTGATTGATGAACCGGAATTTGCTTCGGATGAAGAGGTCAGGGTTAGGGCTGATACATCAACATTCCCCAACAAATTTCTATACTTAAGGTTCACCCAAAAACATGTTTGTTCCTTGGTGCCAAACACCTTGCTACCCCACTCTGCCCTGAGGAGAGCGACATCGACAGCGGAGTCTGGGCAACCAAAGACCTTGCAGAGTCTAGCAGTGAAGGGGGAGATGTGGCTGATCTTGGTGATACCATCCAAGGGGAGGAAGGGGATGAACAGTTGGTACTGGCTGATGGCCACTCATCGGGTCATGCTGATGCCCCATCAGATGGTGAAAACCCATCCCATGTTGAGGCTGCATTGGCAGTCTTCCAGCCGGAGGACATAGGGCCTCAAAATACAAAAGTTTTTCATTTGCAACTGTATATCCTTCATATCAACCAGTTCATATTTACCAGAATGTATATCATACTTACCCCAGTTTTCCCCAGTTCATATCGACATTAGTTTTGGATGTTTGGGCAGTGTATTGTTTTATGTCTAGGTTATAGTCTAAAACTATCCATACTTATTCAACAGAACTATCCATACTTATTCAACAGAACTATCCATACTTATTCAACAGAACTATCCATACTTATTCAACAGAACTATCCATACTTATTCAACAGATATTTGGTATCCCTGTAAAGGACCCAGCTGGCTTTGAACGAGCCCTGGATACCGTTGACCCTTTACCAGTTCTTGCTGAACCCAAAGCCAAGTCAGCCAAGCGCAAGCGCAATTCTTCCCAGTCAGGGAAGTCTGCCAAATCCCGGAAGTCCAAATCCAAGTCCAAGTCCAAGGGGCCAAAGTTGCCAGGCACACCAGAAGCTGATCATGCCTCAGCCGTGGACGCCGTGGACATCATCAATTCATTTCCCGAGATGTACCGGGATACTATCAAGGCGTTGCCTACTATGTTGTGGCCCACGTCTTCCAAGCATGGTGAGCACAGCTACACAGCGATCCTCGTTTGATAATCCAAAATGACCAGAACAATCAGAAACCAAGTTCTACAAACAGTTTTGTTCAGAAGAGTCAGGAATCATAGTTCTATTCCACAATCTTTTTTTAGTCATCCAATTCAATGTTATCTGCCTACGCAGCTTGGCTCTAAGGAGGATTGGGCAGGCTCGTGTTGAGGTGTTGCTTCGCCAGCAAGCTTTCAAGCCCAAGTGCAACACTTCTGGGGACAAACTTTCTGGGGAATCAGGCAAATCGAATCTCGAACGCATGCAAAATCAAATGTCCCATATACTAGAATTACAGGGTTGCGGGTGTTGTATCCTTACCTCTTTCTAAAACTTCAATCGTGTCGAATGCAATCTCAAAAGAAAACATATGCTGTAGTGTCCCCAAACCTTACCAGCTTTAGCCAAGGAGATCTTTTGCGAAGGACATCAAAGGCACTTGGGAAACAGTTTCCCAGATCATTGGAGTTACCATTGACTAGAGGACGAGCCGACCGGTGAATCCCTGAGGTATGTTGTACGAGCTAGAGTGGATGGTGTATGTCTGGCCTGCCCATAAGACATTTAATTGTTCGGGGCATGGACTGACGATCCCCAAGCTCAAGGGCCCAAAACCAGCGGGCAAGCTTTGGAGGGTTGCCTAGAGGTGAGATCAGAAGGTGATATTTCATTGTCATCACAACTTCCTGTGTATATGTCACTTGTTTTTTGGGGATGAGTCAACCTTCCAGCTTTGCCACTTAGATGTGTTGGGGTGGCTATGGGGAGCTCCCTGACCCAATTCTGAAGTTCCGGACATGTGGCCATCCATCACCGCGCCACCTGCATCGAAGAAAAAAAACAGTTTGGATGTTTGTCTTGGGATGTGCTAGTGACCCATTACATGTCTCTATCGGACCCCCAGCTAAGGAATTGCATGGTGGCCAGATGCTGCATTTGCGTCTTAATTTGCTGTATTCTCCAGAGCCCTTTCGTTCTAGAGCAGCCTGGAAGCTCATTGTTGGAATGGCATCCACTCTTTCAACTGATTTGCCGCAAGTATCGCATCTATCGTGTGGTCTGGCTGAATTTGGGGCTTATGGGTTTGATCACAAATCGGTTAAGTGGCCAAGTCCCAAAGATATATCATGATACATCTCATGCAACTCAGGTGTTCGTGTGGCTTGGATCATATGGTGGAGGCAGCACCTGATCTGAATTACATAATCCACGTGGTCCACTTTCCACACATGGCTGTAACCGAAAAATGGTGCATATCCCTGGGAACATTCAACCAACCTAAGGTCCAAAGGGGACACTTCTATATTCGAATTGTGCTTGGATCGAGCAGCTATACCTGCCTCTTCCACAAAATGTGGAATGGGCAGCGGAGATGAGCAAGAAGCACCTTGGCAGCCAATGGGGGTCCATGTCCACCCAGTCTTTGCCCATAAATTGTGTATATGCCAATAATGAAATATAATGGAATCAATATGGGGAACAAACATCAGCATATATCCATAATGCACGGAAAGATCGAAATATAGTATGATATAGTATGTGTGGTTGCATATATATATATATAGGGTATATATATATATATACATATATATGTTTAGTTGTGTGCCCCCATGTATTTCTCTTCATCGAACCCTTTCATGCAATATGTGCACAGTATAGATAAAGGTAGATGTATAGACAGAAGGTAGATACATACGTACGTACACACACACATATATATATATGTACATATGTATATATATGTACATATATATATATACAGACACATACATACATACATACATACATACATACATACATACATACATACATACATACATACCTACATACCTACATACCTACACACCTACACACCTACATACCTACATACCTACATATACATACATGCATGCATACATACATGCATGCATGCATGCATGCATACATACACACACAATTGGATGTTTATTTGTCTCTTAATCGAAAAGGGTTCCCTGTGAACATGTGCACCATATCCCAAAGCTTATCATACATTTGATCCTTTACTGTCTTGAGCCCCCAAGGTATGTGGATCATGCAGGTGTGCCTCGTGTTTGCGGGGGGTCTGATTTGAAAGCAAGTCAGCATTACCCACGACTGTTTGGCCATGCTGTGGCCCAACTTTACCATCGACATGAACAAGATGTTCGGGGTGAAGTCAAACAGCGAGCGCCGCTTGGCAATCATTTACACAGATTCATGATTTTGTTTGTGGGGTCTGAAGAACCAATGATCTGTTTACACAGAGTTGCCACAAGCATTTGAACCTTCCAGAGTACAGAAACTATATACTATGTGGGGCAATGATGGATTCAGAAGTCAAAAACTATTGGCCCTTATTTGCTGTCCTCGCTATGTGTGAGGAAAGCCCTTGCAAAGCCCACCAAATCCATTCGCCGCATGAAGGACTGTTGTGGGGGCTAGAGTTGGAATCTGGGTTATCAATGGGATTATTGAGGTATGATATGAAACCATTTGAATTCTCATCCAGTGAGGTAAGAAGGTATGTGACTTTGCAAGGCAATGATTTCTGATCCACCACCCATTGAGTATCCCCATCTAAAATGTGGGTTATGAATTACCAGATATGCCCATGATGGGTTAAGTAGTGGATTAGAGCACCCATCTAAGCAAATCCCCATCATTATGAATTCCCATCCATCTTCATAGATACCCCTTTGGAACCTCTGATTTCCCACCAAACCATTGGGGGCCCGAATGCAGGACGGCTCATGGTCTGAATCTGCAGACCTGCAGCAAGTGCTGGATGCCATGCGGCGCTAGAAGATCTACATCATCTAGCTTAATTGGAGCTTGGATGGAATTCCTTCCAGCATCTGTACGGTGGGGTGGTCCGGGAATCCCATAGCTAGAAAATTTAGGAATATTTAGACACCCATCTCAAAAATTTGGGCTCCTTCACATTTTTTTTGGGGAAATCAAATGTCCTTTAATTTTTTTGGGGGAAAATCAAAAACCGGGAAACCGGGAAATTTCCGGGAAATGGCCGGGAAATGCCGGGAAATTTCCTGGATTTTGGGGCTTGCCGAAATGTTCCAATTTTTTTTTGGATTTCTTACCGGTTTTGATTCTTTTTATCCAAGAAACCAAGAAATTTCCCGGAATTTCCCGGAATTTCCAAGAAACCAAGAAATATCCCGGAATTTCTTTAAGAGTGGTGGGATTTCACCGGACACCTGACCAAAATTCATCCCAATTTGCCAATTGACATGGCTTGAAGTGCTTAACAATCAGCGCAGTGAGGAAAAAAAAGAATCAATTTGGTAGCATAGCTGTGCATTCAGCCCACGATTGCTACTAGGTTGGCATATATGCATACGATAAGTTTGAGTTACCATACATAGCCATTTTCAATCAAGTTGAAGGGCTTCTGGTGCCTAAAGGGTTGATAGTCATGGCCCGGGACACCTTACCTCAGCCTACCCATCGACACCGATCAAAGTCAGCAGTTCGTGGCCGGAGTCCAGATCCAAAGTCGCTGAAGAAAGCAGCAGCAAGAGCCCGCAAGGAAAAGGAAGCAGCAGCTTTCATCACACCACCACCCAAGCGCAAGAACCGAAGCCCAGGAGCATCAGGTTCTTCAGGTGCCAAGTCTTCCAAGCCAGACCCAAGAAGGATTTCCTTTAGTGGGAAAAACACTGTGCACCCGATCGAAGCTGAGAACCAGCCACCCAAAGAGATAAGCCCTGATGAAGCAGATGAAATACTGCAGATGCTCAAGACCAAGGACCCCATCAAAGGAAATAATAACCTAGGTATTTCAAACGAGTTCCAGTAACCCAAGTTGTTCACTAAAGAGCCCCAGTAATCCTGCCCTTTCTTTGAAAGTTTCCTTTTCCACTCCTTTTGTTTTGCAGGACACCGGCAAAAAGAATGTCGACCAGTCCAACGAGTCTTCATCGGACGAGCAGGACAAGGCAAGGAAAGCTAGAAAACAATGGTGGGCCAGGTTTCAAGTGCCAGGCAAATACCAGAGGGTGGCTGGACATCCAAAGGAGTCTCATGGAACTAGGTCAACTGGAAGTGACAAAAAATCCATTGAAGCAATGCAGCAATGGTGGGTTAGGCGCAATCCACTTCTGGCCCAGGAAAACAAAGATGTAGGAAGGGCAAGTAAGAAGACCGAGAAAGCAAAACGCAAGAAGGCAGAGAAGAAAGCTGCATCAGAGAAAAGAGAGGCTGAGAAGAAGGAGGCAGAGAAGAAGGAGGCAGAGAAAAGAGAGGCTGAGAAGAAGGAGGCTGAGAAGAAGGAGGCTGAGAAGAAGGAGGCAGAGAAGAAAGCTGCAGCAGCGAAAAGAGAGGCTGAGAAGAAGGAGGCTGAGAAGAAGGAGGCTGAGAAGAAGGAGGCAGAGAAGAAAGCTGCAGCAGAGAAAAGAGAGGCTGAGAAGAAGGAGGCAGAGAAGAAGGAGGCAGAGAAAAGAGAGGCTGAGAAGAAGGAGGCAGAGAAGAAGGAGGCAGAGAAGGAGGCAGAGAAGAAGGCTGCAGCAGAGAAGAGAGAGGCTGAGAAGAAGGAGGCAGAGAAGAAAGCAGCAGCAGAGAAGAAAGCAGCTGGCAAGACAAACAAGACCGACAAGGCAGGAAGGAAGAGTGCAAAGGCAGGAGAGGAGAAGGACGTTTCAGAGGACTCGGATGAGGAAACAAATGATGAAGAATCGGCTTCCAGCAAGTCTGACAGTGATGATGATCACGAGAGCAGCAGCAGCAGCAGCAGCATGGAGCAGTGGTCAGACGAGGAAGAAAGTGAAAATGAGGAGGATGATGAGAAGAGCCAGGAAGAGTCAAGTGAGAAGGATGGTGAGGAGACGGAAGGAAGTTCTTGTGAGACACCAACGGAGACATCCACCACCAAGCCTGGGATCTTGAAGACAAGCACCCAGCCAGACCAGAAGGATGACAGCAACGCAAGTGATGAGGAGGATGATGTCTCGACCTCACAGGTCACCTTAGAGTCCGAGGACAGTCAGAGTGATGAGGCAAGCGAGAAGAAGAGAAAGAACAAGAAGAAGATCTCCAGGACTGGCAATCAGAAGAAAAAGGGAGAGAAAAGGGTTAAGTCTCAGAAGACAAAGGCTGAGAAGGCAGAAAACGAGGCAGGCAAGACCAGCAAGAAGCGAAATGCAGATAAGGAAGATAAGGAAGCCAGCAGGAATGCGAAAAAGCTTTCTCAGGCTGAGAATGGTCTGCCTACGGAGGATGAGCAGAAGAAAGGGCAGAAAAATTCCACAACAAACCGCAAGGAATGGCAAGCTTTTGGCCGTTGGGCCAAAAACAAGAAGCGCTGCCCAGCACAGATCATTGCAGCATGCAAAGATCAGGACTCCGGCTCCCTATTTGTATTTTAGACCTTTGTGAAATCATCTTGACAAATTCAAAAATTCAAGACTGCCCATTCTTTGAGATTCACTTCTAACCACCGCTATCCATTCCCTAATGTACTGTATTGATGCCACAAGTATCAGATACATCCCTGCCCCCAATCATCAACATCCATGTCTTGCAGGACAAGCGCATGCAGATGTTCAACGACTACATGGACCATGGGAAGGACTTTGCTCAGGTGGAGGCTCTCTTCCAAAGCCGTTTGGAAGAGAGCCAGAAAACATCGGTCAAGTATGGATTTCGAAATGACCAATGGTTGAAGAAACACCATGGGGACAAAAAGGCCGAAAAGATTATGGCCCGAAAGAAATCCTTGGGGCTGAAGCTTATCTCCAACATAGCCCTTCCCACAACTTTCCTTGCCTTGGCCCCTCAAGCTTTACATGCGAGCTTTGCCCATCACTCCTGCCAAGGACGATGGTGAGTTCCCTGGCGAGGAGGAGTACTTGTACTTCGTCCTGGTGGAATTCAACATCGAGGACATCAAGGAGTTGAAAAGAATCACCCAGTTAGAACTCACAGGTTCTTTGGATGCTGATGGTGTGAAGGCCTTTGTGGAGGTCTCCTGGCAAAACTGTTATAATCCCTTCCACCCAATAAGAAAAAACATACACCCATAGAAACTATGGATTGTTATGGGGAGTTCCACATAATTGATACAATGTAAGGGGTGTTATATTAGTGGGATGGGAGCTTACTTTCTAGTAAAAAATGATCATCCCAATTCAACAGACTGAAGGTCCCTGATTCCCGTTAGAAGTAGGGGAGCCACCATACCAACACGGTTTTAGTTGATCCCAATTATTCCACTTGAACTTTCCTAGGCTGGCGGATGCTTGGATGGAAAGCAACACCTTTCCCTGGGCGACAAGATGGGTGCTGATGGCATCAAGCGGATGCTGAGCTCTGCTGGGGTTGGGGCTGGGTCCAGTAAGACGCCTAAGAAGAGGAAGGGTGAGAATGGAAAGGGAAAGGGAAAGGATGGAGAAGCTGCCAAACCCAAGGAGGCACAATTCTTACATTTGTTTTCATCAATCACGGGGAATTCCATGCAAGGTAAAAGGCTCACTGCAACGTACTTTCACCACCCATGTTTCTACGGGGCTTGTTTCACCATCCACCACTGTACAGCGCAGGTGGTGCCGGAGACACCTTTGGACAAAGCTGCCACTCTTTTGGCAACGGTCATGAAGGAGGCCAACAGTTGCCGGATACCAGGCTGCATTAACCACATCAGACCCTCATGTAATATCACTTAGCGATCCAATGTCAAATTGTGAAAAGCTTAGCAGCTCAGCATCTAAGGGACTACGCATTCAAGCTTCGGCCGATTTCAATGTCAGCAGATTTGATTCAGCAGTTGAAAGCTTGCTCAGTCAAGCTTGGGGTCTGTGCTGAAACCCTCCAGAAAAAGATCAACAACAAGTGCGACAAAAATAAGCACTATGCGGCCGTGATCGCAGAGGCCAATCATTCCAAATTCAAGACATCTCAAGAAATTGGTTTTAATTTTAACTTCAATGCCTCGGTTCATCCTTCAAGTGTTGGTTCTTTTGTGCCGATATACTTTGCAGTTCTTAGGCCCCAATCCAGTTTTCCATTAAACCCTTTACTTCTAGCCTTTTCCGTTGGTGCGCAGGTGAATCAGCTGACTGAGATTGCGAGGGAGAGGATCGAGCTTGCCAAAGCTTTGATCAAGGCAGTTGATAAGCCTAAGGCAAAGGCCAAGGCTGCACCAGGTCCTACGCCTGATGCTACAAAGGGTACCGGAGATCAGGGCGAAGCCAGCGCTTAGTCCTTTAGCTTCAGCTTGTTGTACAATCCAATGATATCTTTTGGGCAAACCAGCCAGTTCGATTTCGAACTCTGGGTCAAAGTTCTTGGGGGATTTTGGCATTGGCCCATAAACCTTCCCTGTTTGAAGGGGTAACTGCCATCTTAAATTGCAAGGTTTCCTATGCAGAATCAACCCATGTGTATTGTGTGGGAGGGCAGGGTCAAGTGCCACCAACTTACAGTTGCAAGATGCAACATCACTCGCAGCTTGGAGCATTCAGCGCCCAGAGAAAATTGTTTTGATTTGCTCCTATTGTCTCCATTTGATCTATCAGGGTTGCACAGGGTCATAGCAAAAGATTGTGGGTCATCAAAATAATATAGGGAGTTTGATAACCATGCATGGGATAGCCCCTATACGAAACCATACTTGGGGGTGCAGTTGGGGCTATGGATAAATATAACTATGGTTATAATCAGATCACATGATTACTTAACTATTTTTGGAATTTTTGTTAGATACCCAGCTATTTCCAATTTGAACTGCACCCCCAAGTATGAAATAATATATATAACTTCCCAATTGCACCCTTGCCCCGACGCAGGTGCCGGTCCAGATCTCCTCGAAGACCCAAAAAGGATGAGTTCAAGAGTGCCTCGGATAAGATGTGGCTGGAATGAAACGACCCAAGTGCAATGAAGACACTTTAGAGATCCTTATTCAAAACCCCATCTCTATTCAAAGCCCCATCCATTTCGAATCAAAAAACTCGTCCATGCCCTGAGGTATTCTGGCTTTAGCTTCTACCTCTTCAAAGAGGATATTGAAAAAGATATGCTCAGGTGTTTCTGGGTTGCATATAGCTGGGTTTCAATGGGGGGATAGGGAATTCAAACATACCGACAATTCTTGATGAGGCACTGGGAGTATAGCAGGGTCATTAAATGTCCCCATTGAACATCACCCAACCATTAGATTCCATTAGGTATATGGTCTATAATGGCTACTATAAGGTGATGTCCAATATACGCAAAATGGGACATTTAACAACCCCTGTCAGGTTTCATGTGGTTACATGCATGGGGATCCCACAAGGGTTAGCTCGAGCTAAGGCTACTTCAGCTACAGATGGTTGCAGGGATGCTCGCGACTTGGTGGAGGACAACCTTTCCTGCCCCTTGGCAGTGGAGATGAAAAGATGGCTGAATGGTGGCCACGCAGAGCGATCTTTTGCAAGGCCCAATACAGTCTCGACAAGAAACAAGTTGTTTGTTTGATTTAAGTTATATAGATGTTTGTTTTCAAAAATAAATGGCAAGTTATCACACCAACCAAACTTTGGAACAAGTAAATGTTTCCAAGGCTTAAAAGAATCGATGTCGTTGAGCCCCATTATCCCACCAGGTGGTGCAAAGAAGTTTGCACAATTCAGCCTGATACAGTCGATATCCCTTTGATGATCACAACCAATGAGGGTGATGAGTTGGAAATGAACCAGCCCACTGCAGTCATTTGGCCATGGGATTATTTTCACCACTTGCACACTTCCGGAAAACTTTTGCAGTGGATATCTGACAACCCTGATGGAGCTTCAGCAAGGACAACCCAATATTGGGAACATTGCAAGCATTTAGACTTTTTCCAACGTGTGGGTCTGCCGGAAGACAAGTTCGGGTCTTGTGTGCCACTTTATTTTCACACAGACGGTGTGAAAGTCTATAAGAACCAAAAGGCATGGGTTTATTCGGTTAGCTCTGCCTGTCGAAAAGGTCCATCAATGTCAACAAAACTGGCCTTTATTCTGGTGAGGGATGCCACGGTAGTCAAGCGCAAAACTCATGATGCAATAGGGAAGTTGGCTGGGTACATTGTTGATACACTGATGAGCGGATGCTTCCCAGAGAAAGACTTTCAAGGAAACCTGTTCCCTCCGGGTTCCCTGGCTTCTGCAAGAGCTGGACAACCATTTGCACACGGCTGGATGATGGCCTTCGCAGCTTTCAAAGGTGATTGGGAGGCAAGGGTGGTTGTTCACAAGCTGACTCGGTATTACAGATCGACATTCATATGTGAGCACTGCTTGGCGTCATATAGGGATGATTTGACTTTTGCTGATTTCCGGGTGGATGCCAATTCACAGCAACTACGATTCTCTCACGATCAATTTTTGGCATTGAACCCACAACATGATCAAAGCTCTTGGACATCAGTAAGGGGATGGACAAAGGATCGGAACTTGGAAGAACCTCTCATTTGATTCAGTGTTTTCTATTTGGACACATTTTCAGACTGTGGCTTGTGGCAATCCCAATCCCCTGAAACCAAGCGAGCCTCAAAGTAATCGCTGTAGCATAGGACATCTCACGGCAATCCATCATCCACGGCCTCAATCCCATGTGCCCAGCCAAGGACCTCCTACATGTTTTTCACCAAGGAGTTCTATGTTGCGTGATTGCGGGGCTGATCTGCAGTCACATTGAAAGTCAAAACCCCTTGGTCACATTGAATCAACTGGACACATTTCTGTCAAAGAATGTTTACAAACACTACAAAAGATGGTGCCATGCGAAGGGGAAATTTGCATCAGCATGTTCCCACAGGTTCAATGCAATTCGCTTTGGGAAAGAACAGTGGGCTCAATATTGTGAACTGGGATCGGTCTACAAAGCTGCTGTGGTAAAATCGATGCTTTTTTGGTGCAATGACTTCTTGAAAGAACATGTTGGACGTGTACATGGTTCTGAAGCCAGGGCAAGATGCATACACAGTTTCGCAAAATTTCAATTTCTCCTTGACTCTCATGGTCCATTTTTCACAGGGGAGCAGACTACTCAAGTGGTGAAGTATGCCCGTGCTGGGTTACTATTTTACCAAGATCTGGTTGCAGAAGACAGGGCTAGGGTTGACGGCCGGAGGTTCTACAAAATGATTCCAAAATTTCACAGTCTTTTCGAAATGGCAATTTACATCGAGCAAACAAACCGCAATGTTCGGTTTCTTGGTTTTGGTTTGGAACCTCGTTTGGGGTAACCCCCAACTTAAACATTCAAAGTTCTTCCCATATCTGGTTTTTACTTTTGGGAAAAAATCCAAATCACCTATACGACCCCCATTTCCAGTTAATTACATAGGTCCACCAAATTTGGTTTCCAATCTTTGGTTATAAACCTGAAAATCCAAGATTTCATCAGGTATATCCCCATGGTATGGCCTAACCCACTAAGGTATGAACACTGCTATCAAGACGAAGATCTCATGAAGGAAATTGGAAAAATTGCCTCAATGACCCATCCTTCAACGATGGACATGGTGACCCTCAGAAGATACCGTGCCGTGCTGGAACTTTGCAGCTGAGACACCCGGCCAATGGCCGGAACATGCCACAACCGTCGCGACCGTCGCGCATGCGAAAACCGGTTGTGATGTTGAACATGGGATGGAATTCAATGAATGGGGGCATTACATGTAAAAGGTGCATGGTGTCCTGTAAAAATAGTTTCTACATTGCATTATTTGTAGAACATCCATGGTACATGTTGGACAGGTGATGGAACCCCGAAGGTGTATCTATATATATATAAATATATAGATTTATTTATTTATATAGTATCCATATGTATTTATATATATATATGGTTTAGGGTTCAGAAATACCGTGGATGAAAGAAATCCTGCACCATGGTTTATATCCCATTATAATCCCATGACACTAGTACTTACCAACATGGTGCAGGATTTCTTCCATCCCCAATGTTCATGCCATGCCTGCATGTGAGAGGCAGCGGCCGGGCAAACGGAATTTACAACCATCAGCCCAGGGGAGGTGCAAAAACCACATACATAGACACAAAAAAAAACATAAATGTGTTTTACATAAATACATATATACATAATATAATATATAAATGTCTTAACACGCCACCAGAAAAGTTTCTTGGAAGTTTCTTCTTCTAAACTCTTTTTGGCTCGAAGGTGCTCAGCCCAATCCCAAGGATGAAGCATTGTGTTTGCCCAAAGTGCCTACGCATTCAGACCCAATGTCAAGGATGATGCATTTTGAATGCCCAACTGGCGGGCAGGAAGGCATTGTGTTTGCCCAAAGTGCCTACGCATTCAGACACAATGTCAAGGATGATGCATTTTGAATGCCCAACTGGCGGGCAGGAAGGCATTGTGTTTGCCCACGTGGGGTGCACACAAAAGCTTAATGCCAAAATCATGCATTGTAGTGCATGTAGGATATAGATGGATATAGTACATTCCCGATGCATGACAAACGGCTTTCGTTGAAAGCTGTTATGGTTACATGATTCTGAAGGCTTTCAATTTAAGCCTCCTGGCTGTCTAGGTATGGAGACGGGGTTCTGCGGTCCTTGGCGTGTTTCGTAGATGACCGATAACGAGGAAGAGGAGAACGAGGTCGAACTGCACGTTGGGGAGAATAGCGATGATGATGGGATTGTACAGAAGGTCGACGGGAACGTGATCTTGGAGGCCTGGATCGTGGTCGGCGTGTTGGTGATGGTGGAGCATGTAGGTGGTGAGGGGGAGCGATGGCTGGAGCTGGGATGATGCGAGGGTCCGGAACGTCAGGTTCGGTAGGTCTGGCTTTCGGTGCAGGTGGAGGCATGGCAATAGGTGGTGGTGCTGCTGTGGGTAATGGTGTCGGTGGAATGGGGTTCGGTGGAGGTCCATCGTGTTGGAGGAGTAGCTGACGTTGTTCTTGGGCTCGTTGAGAATCCATGATCAATTGTTGTTGAGCTTGAATAAGTCGAACCGATTCCGCAAGTTGCTGTGTAGTGGAGCCCAGCGCTGCAAGTTCAGGTGAAACGGATGAAGTCGGTGCTGCCGTAGGTGCCGGTGGTGTAGCCGGAGGAGAGGCTTTCGGAGCTGACCGACGTGGTTTGTCCGTTTTCTTGTCAGAGCGAAGCCTGGGAGCCGCCTTAACTGCTGGTGGTGGAGGTTCATCTGGAGGGACCATCGATGCGTCCGTCGGTAGTGGAGGTTGAATGTGGTGAGGTGGGTATGGAGAACTCTGCAAAGGTGTCGGTGGCGTAGTCGATGTAGGTGGTGTAGTCGATGTAGGTGATGGAGCCGGAGGAGAATGCCAAGTGGGTGGAGCGGTGGGTGCCGTAGGAGTAGAAAAAGTCGGTGGAGCGGTGTGCACCAGAGTGGTTTCAGGAGCCATAGGTGTGGGCATAGTGGGTACGAGTTGTGGGCCTGGTACTGCATGAGGAGCCGAAGTCAATGAGGTGAACGGCAACGATGTTGGGGCTGATGCAGACGGCACGAGCGAAGCTGAGGAAGACCATGTAGGATGCAATGGCGAGGGATGTCCGAATAGATGTGCGTTCTGTGATGATTGCTGCCACGTTGAAGATGGAGTCGTAGGCTGCGGTGGAGCAGGCCATGACGTCGGAGGAGTGGTCCACGGGTACATCGCTCAAGAAAATAATGAAAATTCACAGACAGGACTCAGTTCCTAGACCTACTGTTCGTGCAATTGTGCCACAACAGGCCCGTGTTCCAGTCAGCCACGAGGGCATAAAACGGCTTTCAAGTTCCATCGAATTAGGTGCACAACATGTTTCACCTCACCAGACAACCAAAAGGAAAAGACCACACCTGAAAGACGTGTGCCTGCCTTTTCACAGTGTCTTGACATGATTTCGTGTAGCTGCAAAGGTTGCTGCAAAAAACGGAGGTTTCTGGCAGTTCGGCATGGCTTCACTTGACAGAGTGCAAAACGCTAGGATCCCTGGGACCACAGGAGCCGCGGGACGTCTTCAAAGGTGCAAAACCGCAAGGCCAACGGTTGCGATTTACTTAGATGAATTACCAGCTTAAAATGTGTTAATTCGGCAGTCAGGTTAGTCGTCACTCACCCTAAAGAGGGTTGCCTCAAATGGCTCCATGGCACCATGTCGGAGCCACCATGGAAATCACACTAGACAAGAATGGATCATTATATGATCCGGCAGGAACTGAATCCTGAAACATGCAGATTAGATATGAAACAACGAATTATTTCTCCACAAAACCAGGATCGGTTGAGACTAAGTCAACACTGGTGGTGGAAGTTTCAAATGTTAATTTGCAATCCATATAATTATATTAAATTATATGGTGTACCGTTGTGATGTAAGGTAAGCAGTATTCATGTAAATGTACCATTTACATAAATAAAACTTACTACAAAAAACACAGTTGCCGACGCTTCGAAAAAGAGAACACAAGTGCACAACACTCGGACTTTATATTGATTTCCTTTTTGCTTCCAGTAATTGCACAGTCGGGGGTAAATCCAAGGCCGGTCGTGGTTCCAGCTGATCTTGTTGTAGGTGCATTGGATGGGTCATGATTCCATCACTGTCGAACGTTGACACGAAGTGACATGATGCCAAGTGTCAGAGCACCCGATAATTCCCATTTCCCCAATTTTTTGGGTGGGAGTGATAAACGGGGTGGGTGAAAAAATTGCCCCTTATTTTAAAGGGACTCCCGCCCTCCCACCACTTGATTGGGAAAAGTCACAGCATTACAAATGATGATGTGACGTGTGAAGGATGTGGTGTTCCAATGGAATTGTTGAATACCACACCGAAAATTCAGAAAATAGAAATGGGAAGTTGAACGCCAAATTGTTTGCTTCTAGATTTGGTTGGATGTTTCAACGCTTCGCAAACGTTTGTTTACCACTACCCAGAGAGATTCCTGTCGATCCTTATTTGTGAGGGTTCACAATTTTTTGCTTGGAGAAATAACGCTTTCATCTTTTTTCAAAAGAGTGACATCTTATTTCTCCACAAAACCAGGATCGGTTGAGACTAAGTCAACACTGGTGGTGGAAGTTTCAAATGTTAATTTGCAATCCATATAATTATATTAAATTATATGGTGTACCGTTGTGATGTAAGGTAAGCAGTATTCATGTAAATGTACAATTTACATAAATAAAACTTGCTACAAAAAACACAGTTGCCGACGCTTCGAAAAAGAGAACACAAGTGCACAACACTCGGACTTTATATTGATTTCCTTTTTGCTTCCAGTAATTGCACAGTCGGGGGTAAATCCAAGGCCGGTCGTGGTTCCAGCTGATCTTGTTGTAGGTGCATTGGATGGGTCATGATTCCATCACTGTCGAACGTTGACACGAAGTGACATGATGCCAAGTGTCAGAGCACCCGATTATTCCCCACTGCGACTAGTGCTCTGGCAGGAACACTCTGCAAGCTCTCGAACGTGCTTGCTGCTTAAGCCGAGGTTTTCCGAAGCACACCCCAAAAGGTTGTCCTCAGGTAGTTTTGGCACGCGATTTCCTGGACTACGGAGGGGAATGGCCGAACCTAGTCAGACCCGTCAATGTCACGTGGACATGTCAGATAAGGTCCAATGAGACTGTTGGTCCGCTGAATCGCCTCGGTTGGCAAGTCCTCCACGTCGGTCTGAATAACTGCATTTGCATGAAAAAACAAAACGCTCATCACAAAAAATTGTACCCAGGGAGGTCAAAGATCTCGAAGAATAAAAACTGACCTTGATGTACTGCTGTCCGGAAAATATGGTATCGTGTTGTCCTGTAAAAACTCAACCAACTCTGACGCAACTTGCCTTGATCGGATTGGGGCATGTATGGAAAAAACCAAACCGGTTGAGCCACTTTGCTTCGCAATATAGATTTGCAACGTACAGCTGAAAGATCGTTCCCTTCGCGGAAGGGTCCTTCAGGCGTAGGGTGCAAACCAAACTTCGTTGCGCCTTTCGAGTCCATCACCAGATTTGGACACCGCAGGGGCAGAGGAAACTCTCACATCCGTAGCAAGCATCCTGGAGAAGATGGTCCAAAGTGGGGTTCCTCATCTAGTCCCAGCCCGATGCAATGGTAAAAACGAAAACAGGAAGACGTCGATCGCACGTAGTCCACTGAATCGTCTCTCAACCAAAATTGCAACAAAAAATACAAAGGCCCTCGTTTCCTCGACCTGGCAGTGCTGTGGGGTTTACCCGTCAAGGGTCAGCCCCAACTTCGCCGCAATGTGGGGCGGCCACCCATCGGAGCAGCGTGGTAGAGCAAGAGTTTCCCTCAAATCATGGGCGACCCTTTTGTTCAGCGAGTGCCGAGTGCCTTGTGCCCTTTCCAGGTTTTCCAACCTGGTGCGAAGAACGTTCACCTCGTCGGAAAGTTGTTGAATTCGACGATCTTGCTGAGCTCGGTCTGTCTCGCAACTGTCAAAAAATTCCCAGGCGGAAATGTGCCTGATGAAGAACACCTTGTAGTCCTTCGTCTCGTCCTTGTCAATGCTCTTCACATGGCCGGATTTCAGGCCTTCTTCGATAGCTCCTGCCAAGTC